CTCCTTCACTGCTATAGTAGCAGCAACCCCAGTTCCACTCAACAACGGACGGATGCCCCCAACCCTGCAAGTTGTGGAGAAACTGTTCCCTGGCTCGGGAATTCCACGGTTGGCGGGGAAACTTGAGAAGACGTTTGATATCTGTATGTACATGATTTTACATCGTGGTGGGAATATCTTGGCTAATGAGATATCTTGTTGTTTCTAGGATTGGAGGATATATCATATGATTCTGATGTACTGAAGCCCAGCTGGGACATGATATTCTTATTGGGTATAGACTGAATGTGCTCTATGGTTATGGGTTGACGCTCGTTTCTCTTCCTTTCTTGTGGGCTAGGCAGCAAGTCACCAATAATGCCCTTTACACTGATTCTATAACGATATTCATTTATGATATTGCAGAAGGATCCAGGGTTTAACTGTTCAAATGAATCATCATTTACCAAAAAATAGATTGAACAGAATGCCATGCCAAACATTGGACACTGTAAGTCCATATATGCCAAATATGCCAAAGCCGAACCATCACACCTACTAAAACATACCCTCCATATCCAAATCAAGGAACTCAGGATTCCCAACCGCCATATCCGCCGCATTAAGCACATCGTCAATAGCATCCATACCAGCCCCAGAATCAAGTCCCATATCCTGACCCACACCCATACCACCACCATCCATCCCCGCCGCCGCATCCGCCGCCGCCTTATCGAGCATCTGGTTGATATTATCCGATTCCTCATCATTGACCGTATTACGCGAAACATCAGCAGCAGAAGGCTCAAGATCCATCCGATCTTCCTGCCCCTCAACGCCAAGATGCATATTCTGAATAATATTCGAGACATCGATATTGGAGACCTGCGACGGCGGCGCCATGAGCATATTGACCCGACGCGCAAGCCGCACCACGACCTCCGCGCGCAGTGGGTCACTCTCTGAGATCTTAGGCACGTTCTCGTGCTGCAGAGCCAGGGCGTCGCGCAGGGTCAGGATCGCACATCGCGGCAAGGACTCCTTGCTCGTGTCGACTGGGTGGTAGTTGTTTTGGTCGACGGCGAAGGACTCTGTCATTGGAGCGCACACCATAGTCGTCGCAATGTCCAGCGCGATATGTCCGTTGCCTGACTCGGTCTGTTGCTTGACTTCGTCGATTATCGCGCCTAGAATCCGTGTTGCGCCCAGCATGCGGATCCCCGCTAGCACCTGTCGGTGCGTGTATGCCTGTGGAGCCATGCTGATTTCTGGGTTGGCGCTCCAGAGGACAAGAGCTTGGAGGGTTGTACGGATGCTGCCTATTAGCCCGCCTGCGGCGGAGGTGGTCCAGGTGTCGAGTTCGGAGCGGTGACAGCTACCGACGCGACGGAAGGAGAGGTATGGCTCTAGAGCGTCGAGGATTGGTTTGATGTCTGTCCGCGACTGGTTTCTTGTTCGGACATTTTTTAGTTGCTCTTCTAGTGGACAGCCGGTTATGTTTAGGACTGTTTGGTGGATGGCTTGAGCTTCGCCGGAGATTGAGCTGGGTTTGACTAGGGAGTGGAGGGTTTTGATGGGGATTGTGGGGTCATTCTCTGATTCCCAGATGTGGTTGCCCAGCCATGTCAAAGCGACGACTAGCGATGGGAGGAGGAAGGGCTCGAGCAGATCTATATTGTGGTTAGCTGGGTATCCAGTGGGAAGCGATCGCGTGATGATGTCCTTACATTCAAATCCGCCTTTCAAGGTATCGAAATCCAGCTTTCCGGACTCGCATGCACCGAGACTCTGATCAAATAGAGTTGTCACAAGCATGTAAAATTCGTGTGGGCTGCAAGAAGACATGGTCTCTTCACTGATGCCCTCAGCAATGAACAAAGCTCCTATCCAAGCGCCAAGGTCTTTGTTTTGCTTCTCGCTCAGTTCGCTCAGTTTCTGGGTGCAAGCGCCCCGGTCCAAAAGTTTCAATATGAACGAGTCGTTGTTCGAGATACCCATATCAGAAGGACTTAAGTCGTAGCGGTATTTGAACGCGAGAACCAGCAACAAGATACTGCCGAATTCATCATAGACAGGCTGGTTTTCGCCCTGGTCTTCGTCCCACTTCCAGGAATCAAGGACAGAACAAAGAGGTTGCAATACTTGCTTTGTAGTTCGGAACAGCAACATGACGTCTAATGTTTGCGGGCGGCGTGAGAGTGAGTTGCAGATGTTCTTGAGCGTCATTGTTTCTTTCTGATGACACAAATTATGCATGACCTTGAAAAAGTTAGCATCCTATACTCTCAGAAAACACAATCGGATAGTCTGGAACATACATCGACTACAGCACAAACTATCGCGCCTGCATTACCCTCCATCGACTCAATCTCACCAATGAGTTGCTCAGCACGTTCATGGTTGTTATTGATTTGCGAAACGAGATCGTCCTTAACATAAGGGCCCCCACCAGGCAGTGTCTGCATGGGGTTTTCTCCGAGAAGTTGCTCAATGCTGGACTCTCGAATAAGCTTGTGCGACGCACAAGCAAAGAGGAACTCCTGGCGAGCATCTGATAAAACACTGCTGCCCTGCATAGAGAACATCTGAGAGAAGGAGGGAAATGCGTTCGGATCCAGACGGCTCAAGGCATGGCTGATGCACATTTCCATGGAGATTGGCACCATGGATGCTGCCGATATGGCCGCGAAGAAGGCAGGAAGCTTGTTAACGAGGAAAGATCGAAATAAGAGCATCGTGCGGCTGGATTCATTGCGATATACGCCGTTAGAAAGAACATCGAAGGCAGCTGTGATGATTTCCTCGATGAGGACGTCATTGTGGCCCTAGTAAGGGGTTAGTTAAATGACCTCAACCACTCTCACTAGTGAGGACCAAATGATCTGAATCACTCCGACTAGTGAGAATAAAATCAAACATGTTAATTTGACTTACCTGATATCGATTGGTGAGGTAGTTGATCAAAATGGTATCATCGACCAAAGGACGTCCCACAACCTGTTGCTAGTCAGCCATAAACCCAATCTCGCAGCATAAATAGAAGCGCACCATCGAATTGATGTATACATAGAGTCCAGCTCTAGTATTAACAACTGGGCCGTCCATGACGGAAGACTCAAACTGGAGGGCATTGACATTTACGCTGTCAATAGCAGGCCCATCCAAAGTCTTAGAAGGCTGATCGGGGTAAAGATTGAAAACTTTCTGCAACTCTTCGAGGCGATGCCGAAGTGGCAGAGAGACATCGATACATAAAGGCAAATAGCTGGACAAAGCCTGTCCCAATTTTGTTTTCAATGCTAGGAGAAATCGTTAATAGTTGTACAGCGAATATAGCAATATCATCCCCAGGCGCGGAAACTATGTAGAATTACCTTGATTGAAATCACTGGACAGTACTTCTAAACCCTTGTTAGTCCCAGACAAAGCTGCAAGAAGAATCCCAAGCGACTCAAACAGCGAGCCCGCGTCAGGCGACCCCATCAGCCCGCCGCCCGTTTGCTGCGAGGCGTCCAAACTGTGATTGTGCCACGCCACAACAGCCATAATCCAGTCTACGGTAGCAGAGTAGATATCCGCAGCCTCAATCACGGTCTTGGGAATTGACCCAGTGGAAATAAACACCATGACATCCTGAATGACTTTGATATCTGTCATGAGCGTGGAAGGTTTCTGCTTCTTGGACTTGGATGGTGAGTCCTGTGCCTTGCCCTCACGCTCTCCAGAACCCGGCACATCAAGAACAGAAGAGTGCTTTAGAAGGCTCGTCAGAGCAGATGAAGATTTGACCCTCCCAACCTTGCACAGCCCATCGACGTACAGCGGGAGAAGAGGATCCCAGGTCACACTGGAGGAAGCGCGAGCTTCAAGGAGCAGATCAAGGAGCTCATTTTCCTTCAGCGGCGAGCGGGCAAACATCAGCCCTGACAAGTCTGTGAACTCATCTATATCTATACGATTGGCCAAACATTGGTGGAGGAAGGTCCTCCATTGTTCGGGAATTGCCCTGTCCGGCAGCATTTTCATCTCCACAACATAACACTGCACCCTGGAAGTTCTAAGAATGAGATTGCAAGTTACAGACTCGCACTAAGCATTTTTCCTTAAAGGAATAGATCGCTGGTATCGAGGCTGTGAGGGATAGCTCTTTCTCAGGTTGGCGCCCGGGGCTCGTGAAATCAATTATGTAATCATCACGTGAGAGAACTTGGATTTATATATCACGTGTTTAATATATATTTTGTGCCTCAGGCCACGCTTCAAATAGCCACTTGACATTCTAACACAGCATTGAAAGATTCCGTGTAACCAATGGAGCTCTTGAGAAACCAGCTACATATGTATCAAAAATGTACCTGGTCGTTGGCCGTTTTGACCTCCAGCTATAGCTAAAATCGTGAAATCGAGGAATTTTTATAAAAATGAATTTCTTCCAGATTTTGTAGGCACTGCTTCCTTCTTACTTACATTCGTTCTATTATTGATTCAGATGAAATCCGACAAGGCCAGTATATCACTGTCCGGATACAATATCAAGGATCCATAAATTGCGGCCCGTTGACCTCAAGGGCTGAGCCTTGGCAGTGGGCCCAGAACAATCGCATTGATCAGTGTGCAGAAGCTCTATGAATTCTGTGACGTCTTAAGGTTCACATTGACGCAAATTCAAGCGCCACACTTGGAAAAGGCGTTCAGTATTGTGATGGGGTATACCTTTCTCTGCGGATTTGGAAGCCTTTGCCACCCGTTCTCGGTATGATTTTGCGTCATCCCGACATCGAAGCTGTGGTGCCCACTCATTCCGTATCCTCCGCCAATTGACAATTGACAAAACCTATACAAACCACTCTAAACTCACGGGAAAGTCTCTTCTTGAATGTCCAGACTACAGAGCATGGGAGACTGAGTTTAACTTGTTTATAAATGCAGCGGATACCTACTCAGAGAAAAGGAGTCCTTGATTTCGATCTCTACTCACTGCATTGGTTCGAAAGTGAACTATGTACATGTCCTAACTCAATATGGCCCACGACCGGTCCTACGATTTCATTATCATCGGTAGTACGCATTTGCTACCCGTAATTACTACCAATTAACCGCTTACCAATTTCACAGGTGGTCCGGCTGGATGTACACTAGGTGCATCTCTGGCAAGCTCGGCCAAGAAGCCGAGCGTACTGCTCCTCGAAGCTGGTGGGCGGAATGAGGACAAATCTTTGCGGGTCGATGGAAAGCGCTGGACGACATTCATGGGGGAGAAGATGAACTGGGGATCAAAGACAACCCCGCAAGAGCACTGCTACGGCCGTCAACTCGATTATTCGCACGGCAAAGGGCTCGGAGGCGGGTCTGCGATCAATTTTGGAGTCTACACTGTTGGAGCGCGAGACGACTATGATCTATGGGCAGCTGAGGTCGACGACGAGACTTTTGGCTGGGATAAAATGCGAGCGCGACTCAAAAGGATGGAAAATTTTACGGGCATTGATCCTCCAGAAAACCGGAAGTATGGTCAGTCTGAACTTACAGACCATGACAACAAAGGTGGCTTGCATGTTGGCTATGCCAAAGAATGGGAGTCGGATTTAACCGTGGTGCTGGATGCGTTTGAACAAGCTGGAGCTCAGCGAAACCTTGATCACAACTCTGGTAATCCCCTTGGATTCGGACTTTGTATCAATTCCGCTTCTAAGGGCATGCGATCGACCGCTGTTGATTTGTTGGCTGAAGCCCCAGATAATTTGGTCATTGTCTCTGATAGCCCAGTGCAACGTATTATATTCGACGAAAAGAAGACTAAGGCTGTGGGAGCCGAGGCTAATGGCAAAAAATGTGAGTTTTGTCGAAGGGTCGATTATGGTTATTTTAGTGTCCAGAAGAACTTATGAATGTCTACAGATTTTGCCAACAAAGAGGTCATCCTTTCTGCGGGGTCACTTGTCAGTCCTAGGATTTTGATGCATTCTGGCATCGGTCCAGCCGAAGAACTGCGTAAATTCGGTATTCCAGTTATCCACGATTTACCAGCTGTCGGTCAAGGACTCCGCGACCACCACTTTGCTCCACTTATCGTGAAGCGCAACCCCCAGACCAACGACCGCAATGCTTTCTACCAAGACCCAAGGGCCATGGAGGCCGCAATAAATCAATGGCAGAAAGACGGTACCGGTCCGTGGGCACGTCACGGCTGCCAACTAGGTATAGGCTGGTTCAAATCCGACAAAATCACATCCTCTGAGGAGTTCAAGGCTTTACCTCCATCTATCCAGGATGCCATGAACCGCGAGACGATTCCTCACTACGAGATTATCAGCCATTTCCCCGTGCATTTCATGTTCCCGCAGCTCTTACAAGACTACAGCTACATCTGTCTAGCTGCTTTCTTAATGAACGGACAATCTGTCGGAGAAGTGCGATTACAGTCCTCCGACCCAGATAAGCCCCTGTCCTTTAATCCCAAATTCCTCGAGCATCCATATGATCGCCGAGCATGCATTGAGACCTACCGTCATTTATTGGACCTGACCAAGCACCCCTCATTTGCTAAAGATACGGTCTCTACAATCATGGCACCGGCATCCGAGTCCGATGAGGATATTCTTGAGTTCTGGAAAAACAATCTTTCGTCCAGCTGGCATATGGTGGGAACCGTGAAGATGGGTAGAGAGGGTTCCAGTAATGCCGCTGTCGACAATCGCTTCCGCGTCTTTGGGGTGGAAAACCTACGTGTGGCTGATCTGAGTGTGGTGCCAGTTCTGACCAACAATCACACACAGGCCACTGCTTATGCGACTGGGGCAACATGTGCAGATGTTTTGATTCGCGAATATGGACTGAATGAATAGTTATGCATGGGTCGGGTCTGCCATTCGTCAATCCACCGTTCAAATCCTCCCCAAATCCTCCCCATAGGCTGGCAGCGACGTCTACTTTGGCTGGTATGAGGGACTGGTATCGTACATGCATTGCTGTACCTATTTGCTACAAATTGGTAATTGTATTAGGAAGATGACCTGGAGTTTTGTATTAATTGGGACTGTTCTTCGACATTGCAATGGCTTCATATCGATTACCGGTCACAGTTCCTATCCTGGATGTTTGAAAGCGTTTTACCTCATTGAATACATGTTTGAACGCCTCACTGCGCTACAGTCCGCCTCTAACTGGAATTTCAACATATCATATGATTAAGATACTCTCTCTGCATTTGACTACAGAATCGGATGTTTGATAGGGACGAAACTGCGCACGGCAACTGACGGATTATGCAACATGCAAGAAACACATGATTCCTAGTGTTCAACCCCCAACGAGGATGTGATATCCTTGGCAGCGTGAGCTAGTCGTCCCGAAGGAGTTTGGCACCCAATCTAGTTACGACAATCTTCGAATAGAATGTTCCAAGAGGCTGATGTACATAAAAAATCAGCTTTAGCTTTCGTATCTTACGTCAAATTTAGCCCATGGATGCTCTAGACATAACCGTTTCCATTAGGGTTATTGTATTCCTCGAGACTCCTTGAGGCGAAGGCCAAGTGCAAGTGGCTCACTTCTAGTGCATATGCTGAAACTGACGTTGTATGAGACATAAATAACTAAAATATGACGTCAAGTCCTATATATACACGGAACTTGTACTGAGCTACACACTTGAGCGGGTGCACACTATCACTGCATAGTGCTATATAAGGACCAAGAACTCTGAGAAGGACAAGTGCTAACTAATTTGAAACCAATGGCAAATTTATCCCTGTTTTACATCAACACTTCAATAGCATTATATATCTTTATACATCATGGCAGAGACGCATAGCAAGAAGGAGACTATGCGTTCAGCCATGTTTGACGGCAAGCCGCTCCAAATTCATGTCCGCGATGTTCCGAAGGCAAAAGTCATCAGACAAACGGATGCTGTGGTCCGGGTTACTTCCGCCGCCATCTGCGGCTCCGACCTACACAACTATCACGGTGTCTTCGGCAGCGACCGGGTCCCGTATTCTATCGGACATGAGGCCATGGGCGTCGTGGAGGATATCGGCGCAGATGTTGATTCCGTGAAGGTTGGGGATCGGGTCATCATCCCTGATATTCCCGATGGCGTCGCGCTGGATTTAGAACCAACAATTAACCCTGCAGTTCCATTGTACGGCGAAGGATACGAATTTGGCAATTTGGGAGGCTGTCAAGGTACGACTGCGCTGCTCGAAATCATATGTTCTGCTTGCAGTGTCTAACTGGCTCATGCCATTCTCGACAGCCGAGTTTGTCCGTGTTCCACTCGCGGACAAGTCCCTGATCGTGCTCGACAAGGACTTCGATGGGATCCAGGATAAGGACCTCGTTGTCCTTTCAGATATCTTCCCAACTGCCTGGACGGGTGTCACCTGGTCGGGCTTCGGGGCGGGAGATAAGATCGTGATTTTCGGGGCAGGCCCTGTCGGACTTCTTGCTGCGTACTCGGCGATTATCCGTGGTGCCTCTCGCGTGTATTCGGTTGACTCTGTTGAAGAGCGACTGGAACTCGCAGCTTCGATTGGGGCCATTCCGATCAACTTCACTAAGGGCGAACCGTCAGCGCAGATTCTGGCCCGGGAACCGGGTGGCGTTCAGCGCGCCGTAGATTGTGTCGGAGAGGAATGCGTCAATGAGAGCCTGAAGCCTGAGCAGTCCTTCGTTATCACACAGGCAGCGAAGTGTCTCAGCGTGGGTGGTGGGTTGGCAGTTATTGGAGTGTACTTTGCTGAACCCAATTCCAAGGGAGTTCAACGAGGAGATACCATCTCGCCCGTTATACCGTTTCCCGTTACGCTGTTTTGGGAAAAGAACATGACTGTTCGTGGTGGTGTAGTGGACAGCAAGCTATTCGTTGAGCCAATGCTGGAACTCGTGAAGAGTGGCAAAGCTAACCCGGGCTTCGTCTTCTCGAGCACTATCGATATCGAAGAGGCACCAGAGGCATATCAACGATTTTCTGATCATTTGGAGACGAAAGTTATGATAAAATTTGGTGCATGAGCAGGATGAAAAAGCAGGTGATGGTTTATATGAGGAAACGCCGTACATTTTGCGATGAACCAGTTCCAAAATTGAGGTATTGAATTTTCGCCAGCTGCCATTCAGTTCTTTCGCGCATGTTTAAGTCAACAGTTAATACTGTCTACTAACAGTCTATTATACGTATTTAATAACCAAATCAATTGTTTGTGTCCAATGGTCAATATATCTAACATATGCGAACCAAGTCATTTCCCCACATCTTTTATTGATGGCAGATCTCGTCAATACAAGGTAGAGCTTCTTCGACTAGATTAGAGGATTGATGCTCTTCGAGGTCGCCATGTGAATGTTGATTAAGGGGTGCTTTTTGTCCTCGGGTTCCAAGCCATACAGGTCCCAGAGCGGAGGAGTCCTCTAGTAGGGTTACATTGGTTACCATAACCAGAGGTATTCCAGAAATCAGTACGAGTCTACGGAGTAGCTAAGGAATGAAATCACAGTTCGCTGAGCCTTGGTGCGTTGCTCAGTGTTAGTGGTCAAAAAACGGCAAGGGTAATTACGCACTCAGATAGAAAGGAGCGGGGCCAGGTCACGTATAAACAGATCCTTGGATATACATAGCTCTCTACTCTCCCACCCTCTTGTCTTCCTTCCTCTCTCTGTCCTTTTACTGTTACTAATAAGAACCATACACCTAGGCACCGTTTCTCTATAGCGAGTCCCTTGTAAGATCCCTAGAATGTCTGGCTGTAACGCTCTTCTGCTTTACACCCAGGCGCGCTTTCTCTTTCGTTGGATTTTGCCATGTATATCCCCCTCACCCTTTGCTGTATTCGATGGTTCTTCAATTCATTCCAGACGAAGTAAGAATGTGATTTACAGGGAAGAAGATAGATACATTCAGAAGTACAGAGTACTTGAAAGTGAATTTTATCTAGCCGAAATGGTGTAATCTCACCTATACAACTAATAAATGGGCTACCTACTTAAAATTACGGTTACGATCTAGTTATACTTATATATGTACTTATGCAACATACTAGTGGGACTATGGATATCAATGAACTACCCAAAAACGCAATACAAAGCAGTAATATAAGGTAGATCAATGATATATCGTCTAGCTAGGGGTAAAAGTGCGCGATTTAGTGAATTTGGAAGAATGTTCATATTTACTTAAGCTGGCTAGCATTCCAATGTTGCCTAGGTATCTTCGTATTACATGACATGTCATAGGTAGGATAAAGATTCCAAGGTTGGCGTCGGGGAACCAACATATGTATGCGTTTTCTGTTTTGTTCCCCGACATTACATTGTTTCCTTTGACATGTCATCCAAGCTCTCAAATATTGTGCCCTTGATTTTTTTTTAAATTATTGCGCACTCGATTTCCACCTATTGCCTTGAAAATCCCAGAAGTCTCCAACCTACCGGACCACAATCATGCTGAAATGCGAGTGCGGCCGATTATTCGAGGACCGAATAGCGCTCAGACAGCACGGAATAGCCACACATAGCCGTGATTGCACTCACTGCGATCGGAAATTTGCGACTTCCAGCGCCTTAGACCAACATACCCTTACACTCCATAGTGAGCAGTGCGATAGTTGCAAGGAATGTTTCCGCAATCGCAAGCAGCTAAGACGCCATCAAGAGTCAACCACGCATTGCTTTTGTCGCCCATGCAATCTATATTTCGAATCAACCAATGCCCTACGAAAACATGAGCTTGCGCCCGGACACGTTGGCCAGTTCCACTGCTGCGACTGCGATCGCGATTTCGTAAACAGTTCTGCTCTCGAACAACACCTCCAGAACAAGATCCACACGTTTACTAAAAGGCCCAAGGAAGGTTACGTATGCGAGCAATGCGATCGAGGATTCTCAAGCCAAAACGCATTAAACCAACACCGCGGATCACTAGTCCATCGTCCTCTAAGCGATCTAGAATGCATAGATCCAAAATGCCGGAAACGCTTCAAAAGCCCTTCATCGCTCTTACACCACCTTGAAAGCGGTACTTGTCGCTCCGGAATGAACAGAGACAAACTCAACGGTCTGATATGCGCCTACGATACAGATCAGATAATTTCCATCCGGGGCCAGCCGCAAATCGCAGCCTTCGATGATACTACCAGTACATGCTCGGACTCAAGCACCGAGTCTGAGATTATCTATACGCCGTGCAGCACGGTATCCGGCCGCTCGCTTTCCCCAGTAGGAACAGCAGTACGGAGCTACAGCTCCAAGCCTAAGAAATTCTTAGGTATAGGGTGTAGCGAGTGTACACGGACATTCAAATCCCTAGAGGCACTTGATCAACACCGACAATCGGCTGCTCATTCAAGTGCTCTTTTCAACTGTCCGGCGCCGTTGCTGATCGGCAACTCGGCGGCCCCTATTCCTCTTAGCTCTCTGCGGTCTTTTAATACGGTCAGTGGGCTGGTGCAGCATCTTGAGTCTGGGGCTTGTGCGGGGGGCTTGACGATGCTTCGCGAGGCAGCGGGGTACATCGAAAATTGTCTTCAGAATATGGGACTGAAAAGGAGTATCTTGATAAAGGATGTGAAATAGGTGACTGGGTGCCAGCATGGTAATTGGTGAGCTGAAGATATGGCCCTCTACTAGCGGTCGTGATGGTACGGCTGCTATAACCTAAGGAAGGTCATGCTCGGGTTCTTGTCTTCGTATCGCTACACAGTACGTTTCTCTTGTCTTGCAAGGATCACCCTGTCATATTGCATCGACTGCCCCTTCGCTTCTGCTATTGTGATCTTCTGGCTCTTCGCTATGATATTTGTTGATGCACTCTTGCCATTCGTCAGTTCCTTTCTTCCCCTTGTTCTGGCCGCTCTTTCCTCACCCTGGGTCTTTCCTTTGCACTAGTAGTTTATCATTGATTATATCTCTTAATTACCATCCATGCTTCATACGTATTGCAAGCCCCGTCCTACCCTGGTAGGTTAATCGATCTCTGTTTTGCTCTTCGTATTTTCCTTGCCATACACAGTAAGATTTCGCTTTTTGACACAAGAAACATCATGTGCCCATATACTCGCACAACGAAAATACGATACTTGATTGACACAAGACCTCGGGATGTTGCGGCTATTAGTCGGCTGCTTTTTACCTCATTGGTCAATGCTGCCCAACTCCAAATCAGAAGCGTGCCCTCAGTGAGCAAAAGCGGCAAGGGCGGAGCACTAAAAAGGAAGCCATCTCGGCCTGGAATTTTGGTGTAATGTACTTTGATTTAAAGAAATCTACTCTTTTGAAGGTTGCAATTTACAAGACACAGAAATATTGTTAAATCATTGAATCTCATTATCATCATGACAATCCCAAGTGCAGAACCAAAACAAACAGCGGTGCTCAAGTGGGGATATCAATCAAATGCAACAGTTGGAAACCAAGCGCCTCTAATCCGTAACCCGCTTGAACAAAAAGGGTAAAAAAGCTATTTAAAAAAAAAAGAAAAATATGCATCGAAGCTGCCTCTCCTCAAGAGAGGACAGAAATCATCACAGGACAACCACCCATTAATAAAAAAGGGGGGCGACTGATCTACCACCAATCACCGTGCTCCTTCATGGCCTCAGCGACCTTGGTGAAGCCAGCAATGTTGGAGCCAGCAACAAGGGAAGGAAGAACACCCTCAGCAGGGGTGACATACTCCTTAGCAGTGGCAAGACCGTTGTTGAAGCAGTCCTCCATAATCTTCTGAAGACGGGAGTCAACCTCCTCACGGGTCCAGTTGACACGGGCGGAGTTCTGAGCCATCTCGAGACCAGAGACAGCGACACCACCAGCGTTGGCGGCCTTACCGGGGGCGTACCAGATGGCACCGGCACCGGGGTTGGCGGTACGGTGGGCCTCGAAGACATCGATAGCCTCCTGGGTGGAGCCCATGTTGGAGCCCTCGGCGATGAACTTGCAGCCGGCGTCAATGAGAGCCTTGGCCTCGTCACCGGAGACCTCGTTCTGGGTAGCGGAGGGGAGGGCAACGTCGATGCGGCCGGTGATGTTGGTCCAGGGGCGGGCACCGGGGATGTACTTGAACTTGGAGCTGAAGGCCTCGGTGGTGGCGATCTCGGAGATCTGCTTGCGGTCGACCTTGATCTCGGCAATGGCGTTGATCTCCTCGACGGTGAAAGAGCCCTCCTCGCCATTGAGGACGAGAGCACCCTGGGAGTCGGAGAGGGAGACGACGGAACCGCCGAGCTCGATGACCTTCAGGGCGGCGTACTGGGCGACGTTGCCGGAGCCGGAGATGGCGACGCGCTTGCCGGCGAAGGAGTCCTTACCCTCGGAGGCGTACTTAATCATGTGGTCGACGTAGTAGACAACACCGTATCCGGTGGCCTCGGGGCGGATGAGAGAGCCACCCCAGCTGCCGCCCTTACCGGTGAGAACACCCTCCCACTGGTTGCGGATCTTCTTGTACTGGCCGAACATGAAGCCGATCTCACGACCGGTGACACCGATATCACCGGCGGGGACATCGGTATCGGCACCGATGTGCTTGCACAGCTCGGTCATGAAGGAGACGCAGAAGCGGCGGATCTCGTTATCGGTCTTTCCCTTGGGATCGAAGTCGGATCCACCCTTGCCACCACCCATGTTGAGGCCGGTGAGGGCATTCTTGAAGATCTGCTCGAATCCGAGGAACTTGAGGATGGACAGGTTCACCGAGGGGTGGAACCGGAGGCCACCCTTGTAGGGGCCAAGAGCGGAGTTGAACTGGACACGGTATCCACGGTTGATTTGGACCTGTAGGATGAGTTAGAATTATGGCAATTTCACAAAAAAAAAAAAGTCTTACCTGGCCTTTGTCATCTTCCCAGACAACACGGAACTGGAGAACACGCTCAGGGACGGAGACGACCTGGAGGGCCTTGCGGTACTCGGGCTTCTTCTCGAAAAGAGTGGAGTTCTCGAGGGTGGAGGCGAGCTCTGTTTCGGGATTGTCAGTTGCTGAGTCACGCCGAAATTATGTGGAGCCACGGACAAAAGCCGGGAAGATGCCGATGGGTAAAGGAATAGAGCGGGAAAAGGAATAGAGCGGGAATAAGGGCAATTGGAATTGGAATTGGAAAGAGAAGGAAAAGAGAAAGACATACCCTTGTAGGCCTGCTCGAACTCAGGCTCGAAGGGGAGGTTCTGCATCATTTCGGCGTTTTGAATTACTCTTAGATCGAAGGATAGATCAATGCTTGGCAATGATCTAATATATTAAATGGAAATGCTCAAAAGCAAGAGTATTAAGACAATTGAAATATGTAGAGAGTAGATGAGAGAGAGAGAGAATTGGGAAGGGAAAGATAGAATTATATAGAGATGTGGAGAGTTCGAGCCGGAGTCGGACGAGTGATTCCGGGCAATTGGGGGTTGGGAAAGGGAAGTTGGACAATATCTCCCATACAATAAATCTCCAATATTCCCAAAAGGTTGCACGAATGAGAAGAGGGAAGTTCAATGAAAATCAATGACTTCCAATGATTTCCGTGGAAAAAGAACGTCCGAACTTCGGGGCCCACAGAATGTTATCTTATGGTTTAAGGTCATGAAATTGGCCTTATCTCTTTAGCTGTGGCAATGCAATTACTATTATCCTTCCCATCAATCATAGTTCGTTTTGTCTTCCTAAATCTTCCTTGTCCCTGATGTTTTGTTCCGTGTTGAATTCGTACGGATCAATGCTCTCCGGGTAAAAGTTATTTTTTCTTTTTTTCCCACTTCTTATTAAGAGGCTGAGAAAGGCTTTGAGTAAATGCAAATGCATGATGCAAAGAGTGCAGTCTTGTACTGCGACTATATTGACGATTAAGTAGTATCTTATTGGATTAGATACGACCAAATAAGTCCAAATAAGACCAAATAATAAAAACCAAAGCAAATAAAAAGTCGAGCTGTCCGCCACTTTGGCCAATTTCGGCAGTCTGGCACGGCTTGCAGGCTGGTCACGTGACCTACTATACCGCAAACAGCGACAGCCAAAATGGAACCCTTCCACTTTTTCTTTCCACTGGCTCTTTTTGGCCCACCGAGCTTATCTGATCGTCTCTTTCGTTTTCAAACACTTTTTACTCATAAATCCTTTATCTCTATATACCACTTTAACACTATATACACTATAACACTTTAATTAAACTTACCCCACTGGATTCAAACTGAGGGGTAGAGGGGTAGAGGGGTAGAAGGGTATTTTGTATTTTCAGAATATCTCTGTTATATAAATATGAACAAGTTATGCTACATAAGAAAAATCTAGAAATACTAGAATATCGAATATCCGCCTGAACTAGAACATATCCAGTCAATTGCCTCCTAATAGTCATCTCAGTGGGTGCAACCACAATTTCCCAACTGTCCATTTTCCCCGCTTGGATCAGGCACCAATCCCATGAGCTGCCAAGATCCCGGCTAACTGCATTAGATCCCCCGATGGTCGGCCCTGCCAAGGTCCTATACACTAAATACAACTTTAACATATCTGGCTACTACGGCGTACTCCGTATATCCTATTTGTTTACTTACTGCCCAACTGCCCAATATCCAGTCAAACCATCCATCATACGGTATATCACACAAAAGATACCTTGAAACAGAATATCATGATATTGGGAAGGGTAGATCGTCTCAATCATGCGACCATCCGCCAATCTAGTGGTTGCCTGCTGCAGCTCTCCGCATATAGCGCAAATTCCAGACCTCTCCGATCCTTGCTGACAGCGGTTTGCGGAGGCTGCGCTTCGCTCGGGTTCCTGGGGTTGCAGGAATATCCTCACCGAGAGGCCAGATGTAGAGCTAGTTACTACACGGGCCATCCTCCGTCTTTTTAGTATTCCCTGTCTTTTATGTGGTGTGATGTTGTGATGTATAATTCCTTGCACAAGTGTAGGTATATAGAGTCGATATCCACCTAGCCAGACAAACAATTCATACTCGGTACATATGACCATAGTCACACATGTGGGACAAGGGACAAGGCCCCTCAAGACCCAGTGGGGTTTCCCTTGCAGATCCAGAAGCTTATTTGATATTCTAGAGCTCTATAGCCTCTAGGACTGTGCACTCCTGCATTCCTCGGCTAGATTCCTGCCAGGGTGCTCTGTTCCCGTTAGTGCATATGCGTTCTTATCTCGGAACCATCGGGGGATCTTGCCTCGGGAACTGCAAACGTGGAGTCCAGTTTATCACGTTGAGTTCGGTAGATCCAGCCGGCGAGGAGTGGCTCGGGGCTTTCGCGTTCTGACATAAGTAGACATAAGTACTATGTACATCGGTACTCTGTACATTTCGTTGTAGATACTAGTTACATACCAGCCAAGCTATGGGCTAGGGTTATCGTCTGTATCTAATCTGACGAATGAGAAGCCATTTTATATCACCAACTGCAACTGGTTATCTTTACTTATATTGAAGATATGTTCATTCTGATATACATCAAACTAGTATACAGCTTAAGGTATTCTCCACTCTGAGTATAATCTCCAAGGTTAACCAGGTGGGTTTCATCTGGTCAATGCACAGAAGCATGGTCCACCACCCATGGATTTGCCTTACAAACAGAG